GCTGCCCGCCGCGCCCCACCGGAGACACCGGGGCGGGGACCTGGGTACCCGCAGGGGCTCGGCGCACTTCTCCAGCCTCGAGTCCGAGGTATGACGCGGCCCCGGGGGCCCCAGCGCCCCCTCGGTCAGCGCAGGCCACGGCCCGAGGGGGCACGCGCAAGGAACGGGACCCGCGTGGGTTGGGAAGGAGCAAACGGACCTGGCCGGACCCCGCCTGGAGCAGCGTCCTGCGCCCCCTCGCTCTGGGGGCACCACGAGCCGGAAGGGATTTGGGCCCCCCAAATCTCACCCAGCCTGAAAGGTGGGGGTCTCGGAGCCCACTGGAGATTTTGGTTTGTTTTTTAAACCCGACAAGGGCTTTTTAACGTCACCAGATGGGGCGGGAGGTGGGGGGGTCACGCCATGCCCGCGTCCCACCCCCACGCCCGGGGCCGTGGCCCCCTCATCACTGTGCAGCTCCCCGGCCCCAGCCGCGCCTCCGGGGAAGCCCGTTTTTAACCTTTCATCCATTGGGACTCAAAACTGTGAGACGCGTTCGCCAAACTGTGACCCCAGACCTTGGCCCCGCCACACAGAAACCCCTGACCCCAGACTGTGACTTCCGACCCCTAAAAATGGTCATCCGACCCCAGACTGTGACCCCCACCCCCAAACTGTGACCCGAATCCCAGACTGTACCCCGACCAGACTGTGACTCTTGACGTCAAACCTTGACACACCCTCCTCCTTTTCCATCCTCGGTCGCTTTTCCTTATTTTGACCTAGGACACTCCCAACGGAAGCCCCGCCTCCCCCTGCCCTAGCGTGGATCCCAACCAACATCGGGCCAAAACTTCCCACCCTGTCGCACCTCACTACCAGCCCCACGTGCCACCAACCACAGCCTCACCAAATCCAGCCCTTATTTGTGACCCTCCCATGATGACCCTGCAGACCCCCCCCCCCCAAAAAAAGCCTCCTCTTCCTAGATCTCCAGCCGGGTCTGGAGCTGGGGTGTGGAGGGGACGGTCTGGGACTCCACACCCACCACCAACCTCCCCTCCCACTCTCCTGTTACACATTGCAGTGTTTGGAATAAACCATGTTTTTATGCCTCCTCAGTCCAAGTGTGAGCTCCATGTTTGTCTCAGCCGCCCTCAAACTTCTCTGGAGGAAACAGAAACTGAGAAAAGTCCCACAGAGGAAGAGAGGGCAGAAAGAAAATTATATTGAGAACACTGACCCTGGAGGGAGGTGGGAGACAAAGACCCAGAAGGAAGCTGTGAGAAAAGATCCTAAGAAGAGAAGGAATGAGAAGGGGTGAGGGCGGACAGAGACCTAGAGAGAAGGAGGAACAGCGAACTCAACAAAGATCCAGGATCAAAACATTTCAGGATTAAGTCTAGGGTCCCATTCCTATGGCTGCAAGCAACGCAGCTTGCTAGATTCTTCATAGCCTGTTCATGCAAGCGAGGGGAGAGTCTATTATATCCTAGCCAATCCACCTACCTTGAATGCCGTTAATCTCACCAGTGAGAATCTGTTTCTAGCATTTCATTATGGCAATTAGCCAAACCTCTGGTGCTGATGAGCGATAAAGAGAGCCGAAGCACTTGTAATAGTGGTCTCCAGAGGGCTGACTTTCTGATTAAGGGCTCGCTGACCACAGCTGCAATGTGAACGCCTGGTTAGGCAATTGACTGCCCCAAGAGGGTAGATTCAACCGACCAACTTACACATATCATCTTGTCTACACTAAAGCATTTTGAAGTGAATTAAAGCCATCATAAAAAGGAGGGGAAAGGAAACGGGCTTTATGGGTCCTCGGGGAGCAAAAACTCAAGTCTACTTGCCAGCAAGAACTCTTATTTGCATAAATGAATAACGTAGCGGAAAGGAAGCAATGAGAGTCAAAGGTGGGAGATGGAGTCGGAGCTCGGAACTCCTCCAGTAGAAGGAGAAAACTGGCCTGGTACAGAACTACAACTCCCATGAGGCCTTGCCGCCGCTCTGCGGAAAAGCGCCGCAAAGTCACGCGAAGGGTGTAGAGTTCTCCGCATCCGCAGGCCTCGGTCGCTTGGCTGGGACGCCGTTACCTTAGCTCTCCTTCACCCTCTCGCCACCGCCCTCTCAAATTGGTGAGCTGGGAGGTTTCCAAGGCAACCGTGCAGCCGGGCGGATCTCCGTAGGAGAAAAACGCAACCCGGAAGTGACGTCCTTACCTCGCGCCCGCGGTGAGAGGGTTCGAAGATGGCGGCGCGCAAGGGTAGGCGGCGCACGTGTGAAACCGGGGAACCCATGGAGGCCGAGTCCAACGACGCAGGGACCGAAGGCCCGGCCCAGGTCTACCTGCCCGGCCGCGGACCACCGCTGCGCGAAGGAGAGGAGCTGGTCATGGACGAGGAGGCCTACGTGCTGTACCACCGCGCGCAGACTGGTAGGGCTGAGCACCGGGCTCCTGGGCCCTGAGTTAGGAGGGGACCGGAATCCTGAGTCCTGAGCGGGGCTGGTTCCGAGTCTTTAACTTACGAGGCACTCTGAGAAAAGGCTGTGTTGTAAGACGGATGAAAACATCACGCGCGAGGCGGCTGAGATCTCTGTCCCATCCTGATTTTCCAACCCCTTCTTCTATCCCCAGGAGCCCCTTGTCTTAGCTTCGACATAGTCCGGGATCACCTGGGAGACAACCGGACAGAGCTTCCTCTTACACTTTACCTGTGTGCTGGGACCCAGGCGGAGAGCGCCCAGAGCAACAGGTGAGTGAGACCTGAGGTTTTATCCAGGACCAGGAGCCTGAGCCCCCAGCTCCCCCTCCCCCAGGACCTAGAAGTCGGGGTTTCCAGCTTCTCTCCTCCCTCCCTCTTAAGGACCCTGGCATCCAGTGCCTCACTCACCCCACACTTTCCCCCAGACTGATGATGCTTCGGATGCATAATCTGCATGGGACAAAGCCCCCGCCATCGGAGGGCAGCGATGAGGAGGAGGAGGAAGATGAAGAGGATGAAGAAGAGCGGAAGCCTCAGCTGGAGCTCGCTATGGTGCCCCACTATGGCGGCATCAACCGAGTCCGGGTAGATACAGTCCCAGGAGCCCTCTCTACATTCTCTGACCTCCTCCCCTAACCCCCTCGTCCATGCCTTTCAGCTTTTAGAAAAGTGCTGGCACGTGATTTTAATATGTTAGTTTATATACGTCTTAGCTATCGTCATTGGCGCTGTGTGCTAGGAGAAATAAGGGGGCTGTTTTTTACCTTCTTTCCTCTTCGGTACAATGGTGAAAATTGCAGAACTTGCCTGATGAGGTGACTGGAGGGTGAAAGGGAATAACCTACAGTTGTTTCGGGTGTCTAGAGACAGCATCTGGTTCTAGTGTACAGATGTGTGTTTTCTGTTATTGCTCAGTAACTGTCCTGGGCTGTGGGGTCACTTTGTGCTGCTGACTTACAGCGCCTTCGGAGCAGGCTGATGTGTGAATTAAATGAAACGATGCACGAGCAGCACTCAGGGCAGTGCTTGGCCCACGGTTCTTGCTGTGTGTTCCCATTCAAGGGTTACCATTTTTCATCAGACGAGATCAGGCGCGTTCGGGGTGGTATGGCTGTAGACAAGAGTTACCATGTTTCATGCACCGTTCTGTGCCCTGGGGATTTAACAGAGAGCAGAAGGTCTCTGGTTTTGTGAAACTTACATGCTAGCAGGGAAGGGAGCAAGCAGAAACTAAATGCATCCAGAGGTGCCAAATGTTGTGGAGAAGAGTAAAGGGAAGGGAAGGGAATTAGGATGTTCCTAGAGTGAATTTGCTATTTTAAATAGGGCTGGCAGGGAAGTATTTATGATAAGATGCCATTTGAACAGAGACCCACAGGAAGTAAGGGAATGAGCCAAAGATCTCTGTCGGGAAAGGGTTTATAGACAGAGGAAACACAAGTGTAAAGGCCCTGGGACAAATGTGGCACGTTTGAGGAAGTTCAGGGGAAGGCAGGGAGACCAGTGCATCTACTAGAGCAAATGGACGAAGGGGAGAGTGACAGCATTTGGGGGAGGGGGGTGATGGGTTGTGTGGGGCTTGTAGGTCCATTTAAGGACTTGGCATTTACTTGGGGAGTAATTGTGAGCCATTGGAGGGTTTAGAGCAGAGGACAAATGGGATCTGACTTACGGGGTTTGTTTTTTTGTTGTTTTTTTGTTGTTTTTGAGGGAGAGAGAGAATCTTGAGCAGGCTCTATGCCTAGCTCAGAGCCCAGTGTGGGGCTTGATCCCAACACCCTGAGATCGTGACCTGACTTGTGTTTTAAAGAGATTCCCTCTGACTGCTGTATTGAGAATAGACTGCAGGAAGGCAAGGGGGAAGGACAGTCCTGTGGGGAGGCCATAATTCAAGGGAAAGGATGACAGGAGTAGCAGGAGTGGTGACAGAGGTTGTGAGGAGTTGGAAGTGGTGCATTGTGAGTGTAGCTAGCACGCAGTGAGTGTGAGGAGGAAAAGACAAGTCATTGAGTCGCCAGGCGGGGAGCCCCAGAAAGGAGGTGGTTGCTGATGGCAGTTGGGAGCTTGGCTTCAGTTGTGTTTGAACAGTCGGTGTGATAGGAGTCTGGAGTTGAGGAGAGAGGTCAGGTGTAGGGGCTACTGGAAGCTCTTGAGGTCGAATGGGATCTCCTAGCAAGCAGACGTTCGAGGCTTACAGAGACTGGTAGTCTGAACCCCCTTCCGAGGGTTGGTGGAGTTAACAGCCTCCATTCCTGGGGGTCTGGAAGGCATTTTCCAACTCACATCGCTGCCCCTACACAATGTGGGAAGTTGTCCCAGGTACCATGCTGGTCTTAGAGGCCCCACAAAGGCTTCTGGGAGCCGGTGTCCCAGCCTTGGGGCGATGGGAGTTCTGAGGAGCTGCAGTTCTGGTTCTCACGGATGCTGGGAGCTGTGGTCACCACCCTGAGCCTCCTTGTCCCTCCCACCTCCCTTTCCCTTCTCCCTGCCCCTGCAGGTATCATGGCTGGGCGAGGAGCCGGTGGCTGGTATATGGTCAGAGAAGGGCCAGGTGGAGGTGTTTGCACTGCGGCGGCTTCTGCAGGTGGTGGATGACCCCCAGGCCTTGGCGACCTTCCTCCGGGACGAGCAGGCCCGTGTGAAGCCCATCTTCGCTTTCGCGGGCCACATGGGCGAGGGTTTTGCACTGGACTGGTCCCCCCGGGTGTCTGGTGAGTCCCCGGGGGGTGAGAGGGAGCAGGGTCTGTAGGAAGAGTGGGGGCTAAGAGTACAGGGAGGAGAGGGAGCTGTGGCCAGCCACGCCCAGGCGGTTTCCTGACTCCTGGTTCTAGGGCGACTGCTGACTGGTGACTGTCAGAAGAACATCCACCTCTGGACGCCCACGGACGGCGGCTCCTGGCACGTGGACCAGCGGCCATTTGTGGGCCACACACGCTCTGTGGAGGACCTGCAGTGGTCCCCAACTGAGGACACAGTGAGGGAGGGCTGGGGGTCTGGACTCCTGGGTCTTGGGAGAGGAGGGGCCCGGGGCTAGGTCCCAGTGAGGGGGACACTGAAAAAAAGGGCAGCCCACCACTCATCCCTGGTCTCCAGGGTGAGGTGGCAGGCACCCCGGGGTCACTCAGACTCTGCGTGGTCTAGGTGTTCGCCTCCTGCTCAGCTGATGCCTCCATTCGCATCTGGGACATCCGGGCTGCGCCCAGCAAGGCCTGCATGCTCACCGCCGCTGCCGCCCACGACGGGGATGTCAACGTGATCAGCTGGAGCCGCCGGGAACCCTTCCTGCTCAGCGGCGGGGACGACGGGGCCCTCAAGATCTGGGACCTGCGGCAGTTCAAGGTATTTCCCCAGCTGGACATTTCCCCAGCCCGGGGAACGCCTGCTCCCAGCAGCCGCTAGGATTCGCAGGTTTCCCTCCTTAGGTGCTTGTCTGTACCAGAGCTGGGAAGGCCTGTCGAGTTGGGGTCCAGCCCTTTTGCGGGGCAGATGAGGAATTGGGCTCAGTGGAAGGAAGGCTGTGACTGGTGTAGGGTTGCTCGCTCCCCTAGCTGGAGAGGTGACAGGAGACAAGAAGCTGAGTGGCAGCCTCGATTCCCAACTCCCGTCTACCCGCTGGTGAGCCGGGCAGCTGACTTTGCAGCCCGAGGCTTCAGGTGCCTCGGAGTTGTAGACTCTTTGTTAGCGAACTTTGTAGAATCAGCTGAGAATCGGAGGCCACGTCCTTGGTTACAGGAGAGGAAACAGGTACAGAAAGGACAGGAGCAGAGGTGACATCACCACCCAGCCAAGAATTGACTTCATAGAGCCGAGAGGGCTTCTGGGCAGGAGGAATTGCAACTCTGGCATCCCTCTGGCCAAAGCCACCATTAAATACGGCTCTGTGCCTTCCCGGGCCCCCCACAATGTAATCTTTTCTCCCCTCTGGTATGATGAGTTCTATAGCGTCAGCCTGAGGAAGCTTCTAGAAACAGGTTCCAGCCCCCAAGGCAGGTGTATGGGCAGCATCCGTGACCAAGTTGATTGGCCATTGGAACTTTGGACCCACGTCTCCAATTCAGAGAGACTCCGGTTCCCAGCAGCACCTTTGCTTTAGTAAAAGTGCTGTTTATCTTTTCCTCGGCTGCCCCTGGAACCTGGGAGCTGTGCTTCTGCCCTCTTTAAGGCCTTCATAGAATCAGCAGGTTTGAGAAGTACCCCCCTTCTTTTTTTTTAAGGTTTATTTGTTTAGAGAGTGCACGCACGAGCGGGGAGAGGGGCAGAAGAAGAGGGAGGGAGAGCAGACTCTCAGCTAAGCGTGGAGAGCAGACTCTCAGCTAAGCGTTGAGCCCAGTGTGGCCTTGATCTCAGGACCCTGAGATTATGACCTGAGCTGAAACCAGGAGTCAGCGCTTAACCAACTGAGCCACCCTGGGGCCCCGAGAACCACCCCTTTTTGTAGGAAGGGAAACTGAGGCATGCCCAGGGAGGACCAGCAGTGGGGATTTTGTGACCTGGAGCTGGAAGGGGCTTCTTTGCAGGTGAAACCACAGTTCCCAGCAGCCCCTAGGATGTTAGGCCCCATATCACCAGTTGTACTTGGCCCTCTGTGCCCTTCAGAGAACCTGGGCCTGTGGGGTCTCAGGTGGCGCCCTGGTCGAACCCAACGGCCGGAGAGTGGCAAGGGCTCGGCTTGGGTCACCCGAGGGACTCAGGCTGAGGTGCTCAGAGCCCCGGACTCCCTTCTTCCCGTAGTCTGGCTCCCCGGTGGCCACCTTCAAGCAGCACGTGGCCCCCGTGACCTCGGTCGAGTGGCATCCCCAGGATAGCGGGGTCTTCGCGGCCTCGGGTGCAGACAACCAGATCACACAGTGGGACCTGGCCGTGGAGCGCGACCCCGAGGCAGGCGACGCGGAGACCGCGGACCCCGGGCTGGCGGACCTGCCCCAGCAGCTCCTGTTTGTACACCAGGGCGAGACAGACCTGAAGGAGCTGCATTGGCACCCACAGTGCCCCGGGCTCCTCGTCAGCACCGCCCTGTCGGGCTTCACCGTCTTCCGCACCATCAGCGTCTGACCAGCCCCACCTGGCCTTTCCCCTGGCCACCGAGGTTGGCGTTGGTTCCGCCGGGAGGGACTCCTTCAGGTCAGCTGACCAGCCCTCCTACGATAGAAGGACTTGGCCTGTCAGCCGCCATGACGGATTGTTTGACATTTTGTTCTTTGAAAGGACTTGATTTGGTCCCACGACCCCTCTTGCCAAACGATCTGGTTTGACCCATGACTGTAGAACTACTTGGTTCAGTCCAGGGAGCCTTCCAACCACAGGGCTCGGTTTGGCACCGGGGACCCCTCCTGCAGAAAGACTTGGTTTGGCCCAGGCTGCCCCCCCCGCCCCCCCCACCTGTTTGAGGACCTGCTGGCCTGTTTCCCAGTGTCACTGTGGATGTTTTGTGCGCTCTGGCACCTGGCTTGACCCTTTGACCTCTCCATCCCAGGACCCAGTTGTGGCCTCTGGTCTTCCCCCCCCCCCACCGGGAACTCGAGCACTTTACAGTGGGTGGGCTGAAGTTGAGGGGTGGGCTCCTCCAGCAGAATCTGGTTTTGCCCTTTGTCTTCCTGCCAAACAGGGTTTGGCTCAGACTTCCCAGTGGGGGGCTGTGAGGGTCTTCCTCCCCTCCATCCTGCATCCAAGGCAGGCGCTGTGCGGGGAGGAAGGTCCAGGGCTCCTGAGGCAGTAAAGGACCAGAAGGAGGCCTGATGTGTGTGGGACTCATCTGCTGGCTGCTTCCCTGTGAAGAAATGGGAGGAGGAGGCGGGAACCGGGCCCCCACCCCAGCTGTTCAGAGGCCACCGAGCTGGGAGAGGCCAGTGGGAATCCCTGCTTCATGTGGTCTCTTAGCCCCCATCAGGTGCTGTTCAGATCCACCTGCCTCAAATTTTATTCCATGTGGAACTCAGTCCAAGTCTCTGGAGGGGTAGCTCACCTGTGTCCCCCTGACTTTTTAAGGCTTCATCTCAGAAGGAACCAGGGAGTCTCCCCCCATTTCTCTGTCTTTCCACCTCTGTCCCCTTTATCTCTTTGTTCCCTCATCTGTGTCCCCACCTCCCCGTGTCTCCCTGCCCCCTCCCCCTTCTGTGTCTGCCACCGCATCTCCTCCAGCCTGCTTGGGCTGCGGCCCAGCTGCCCTGCCTGGCCATCCTCCCTGGCTCCCCCTCTGCAGCTCTGAGCTGGCCCCACCCCCTGCCCCCCCTCAGCCAGGCCTCTGATCCGCCTGTGGACACAGAGGTCGGGCGCCCGGCACAAGGCCCCCGGGGCCCAGGACGCATCACTGCCCCTCAGCACCCACAGAGGCCTCCCCGCGGCCCTAGCAGAGGATCCCCCGGCGGAGGGCATGGGGGTGGGCTGCCCCACCAGGTATGTGCCTCCATACAGAGACCCCAGGGGTGGGGGGGCTCCCGCACCTCCCCCCACACCCCTACCCTGCACCCTCCTTGCTTGGGCTCCTCTGCTCCACATTCCCCATCCTCACTGTTCCCCCCAGGAAGGTCCTTCCTCACCCTCGGTGACCAAGTCCAGCCCCCAAACAACCTCTCCCCCTGGTTGGGTGCCTCCGTCTCTGACCCTGTCTCCATCTGCCTTCTGCTCTCTTGTTCCTGTCATCGCGAGCCTCTCTCGCCCTTCTCTGTCCACAACTCCAGCTCCCTGTCGTCCCATTTCCTGACACATCATCTCCCCTTCCCAACTTTTCCTAGTCAGCCTGTCTCTCCTGTCCCCTCCCGCCCTCTATCCACTCCCGCTGTGTCTCTGTCCCCTCTCTCTAGGTCTCTGACACCACCCCCCCAGGTCTCTATGAATCCCACCACCACCCGGTCTCTGTCCCCCTCCCTCTGGATCCCTGTACCCCGTGTGGGGTCTTTCCCTCTCTCTCGGTTCCCCATCTCAGAACCCTTCCTGTCCACTCTGAGCCTCTGTCCCCTCACACCCTAGCCCCCGTCTCTGTCAATCTCTGCCCTTCAACCTGCTGTTCAGACCCTGTTGGTAGATGGGGGAAAAGCAGGGGCGGGGGTGACACCCAGGGTCTCCGGAAGTGTGAAAGTGCTCCTTTTTGAGGGGGAGGGAGGTTGGGGCCTGGGGGTGGAGCTTCTTGGCCTCAGATTAGACAGTGACTTTGACACCAAGTTGATACACCTTAAGCCCCGTGTCTCCTTTATATGGAAACATTAAGCTGCTCTGGCAGGTCAGGGGGAGGACTTGAGACTCTGGATCCTTTTCCCTCCTGTCGTGCCTCCGCAGGGGCGGGGCGGGGGGAGGAGGCCTTGAACCCGTGTCCCATCCACCCTCTGTGAGCTGGGCCATGTTGGATGCAGACAGGGCCCTCTGGAGGTGAAGAACCCCATCAACTTTGTGAAATGGACACAGCCATTTCCGCCTCACAGGGCTGAGGTGGGAGGATTGATGAGGCAGAAGCCTGCATTGGAAAGGCTCAGGACCCAAACCGGCACCCCACCCTCAGCACTGCGTGGGTCTGGCCAGGTCTCCTACCCTGTTCCCCAACCTGTGAAGTGGGGCAGTGATCTTGACCTCCCAGTGTCCTGGACAGTCAAGGTGAGGTGAGCAGTGGGGTCTGGCAGAGTCCAATGGGTGGGCTGCAGGCATCCCCTGAGCCCATACAAGGCCCAGGACTTAGTAGGTGCTCAGGAACCTGATCAGGAACCCTGATAAGGTTGTCCGTGGGTCGTCGCCCAGGCTCTGGCACCTGAGAAGCCTGGATGGGTGCCTGAGACAAAGACCTCAGTGCCTCAGTTCACTTTTCTGTGAAAAACAGCCCCCCGCCCCACGCATCCAAGGGTTGTGGTTAGAGATGGGTGAGCGGGTATGGAAGGACCCAGCCTGCGGACCACCTCCCCTACCCTGTTGGTGGCTCCTGATGGGACCAGCACATAGTGGGGACTTCTGGGGAGGAGAGGGCTGCAAATGCAAATACAGAGCTTGGATTCAAACCTGGGCCCTTCAACCATTAGCTTCAGTTAACCCCTTTCTGGAAGAATGATCTCCCAACTCCCAGGGTTGTTGAGGGTGAGAAAAGAGTCAAGGTTGGGGCACGGTGTCGATGCTCAGCACGGTCAGGCCCAGTCCACTCTGCTCTGAGCTGCAACTTTGCATCCTTAGACTGCAACATGGCAAAGCTGTCCAGGTGCAGAGCTTAGTGAGGCGGGGAGGGTAATGTGGGGACCCACTGATGTTGAACTTAACGACTAACAGCCCTCTCAGTTTGAGCACCCCTGGCCCTGCCAAGAAGCCCATGGGGATCCCAGAGCTTGGTGCAGGGGCCACACAGTACATGGGTGCTTGGTAAATACTGATGGGACTGACTGTCACATATCTAAACTCTAGCCGCCTCTGCAGCTCCTGGGGTAGGGGGTTATGAAGTCCCCGGGTCCATGCATTGTGCTTTCCTTCCTCTCTTCTCCACCCTGTTGAGCAGCCGAGATTCTACTTCCCAGACAAGGGAGCTGAGGTTCAGGCAGGGATGAGACTTGCCACCAGTCCTACAGTTAGGAAGTGACAGAGCTCGGATTCAACCCAGAACTGCCTGATTCAAAAACCCAGGCTCTTTCCACAGACGAGTCTCCAGAAAAGGAAGCCAGTGGTCCTACGGCACATAGTGGGTCAGCCACTGAGCCAGGATTGGGCCCTTGATCTAAATGGGAGACTTCCCGACCTTGAAGAAGTCCAATTTCCCCCCTTTTACAGTTGAAGAAACTACTTAGATTTGCCTAAGATCTGAGGATCTGGGCTGAGCTTGGGTTTTGTTTTGGTTTGTTTTTTTGTGGGGTTTTGTTTTGTTTTGTTTTGTTTTGTTTTTGGTGGTGGTGGTTGTAACTATTCGTTAAAATAGGAGTTTAAAAAAGGGCGCCTGGCTGGCTCAGTCAGTGGAGTATGCGACTCTTGATCTCGAGGTCTTGAGTTCGAGCCCTAGAATACAACCCACACACTAAAGTATACAATTCAGTGTTTTTTAGTATTTTCATGGAGTTGTGCCACCATCACCACAATCAGTTTTCAAACCCTTTCATCACCCCAACAGGAAGACCTGTGTCCTCTGGCTATCACTCCCCAATCCCCCCACCTCCCAGCCCTAGGTACAACTAGTCTCCTTTCTCAATGTTGTACAGATTTGCCCATCTGGGCATATAAATGAAAGTATACAATATGTGGTCCTTTTTTTTTAAAGATTTTTTTTAAAGATTTTATTTATTTATTTGACAGAGAGAGATACAGCGAGAGAGGGAACACAAGCAGGGGGAGAGGGAGAAGCAAGCTTCCTGCCGAGCAGGGAGCCCGAAGCGGGGCTCGATCCCAGGACCCTGGGATCATGACCTGAGCCGAAGGCAGACTTTTAATGACTGAGCCACCCAGGTGCCCCAACGTTTATTTATTTATTTGAGAGAGGTGGGGGAGAGGGAAAGTCTTAAGTAGATGCCGTCCTCAGTGAGCCCGACCTGGGGCTCACTCTCACGACCCTGAGATCAGACCTGAGCCAAAACCAAGAGTCAGATTCTTAATCAACTGAGTCACCCAGGTGTCCCAATATGTGGTCTTCTGTATCTGGCTTCCTTCACTTAGCATGATGTTTTCAAAGTTCATCCATGTTGTAGCGTGTCAGCGCTTTGTTTTCTTGCTGGGTAGCACGTCACTGTGTGGATATATCACATTTAGTTATTCATTCGTCAACTGATGGCTATTTGGGTTGTTTCCATCTGTTGGCTATCTCTAATAACATGGTCATGAACATTTGTGTACCAGTGGTTTGTGTGGACGTTTGTTTTGTCCTGGGGGGATACCTAGAAGTGGAATTGCTGGGTCATAGGGTAGCTATGTTTAACCATTTAAGGAACTGCCAGACTATTTTTCCCAGCATCTGCACCATTTTACATTCCACCAGTAAGTAATGTACGATGGTGCCAACTTCTCCACATCCTTGTCAACACAGGTTATCTTTCCGAGTGGATGGAAAATAGCGTTTCGTGGTTTTGATTTGCATTTCCCTGATGGCTAATGACATCGAGCATCTTTTTAGGTGCTTTATGAGCTTATCTTATTGGCTACTTGTATATTTTTCTTAGAGAAGTGTCTCCTCGGATCCTTTGTGAATTTTTTTTTAAGATTGATTGGTTGATTTGAGAGGGAGAGCACAGGAGGGAGGGACAGAGGGAGAGAGAGAGTCTTAAGCAGACTCCACACTGAGCGCGGAGCCTGACGCAAAGCTCAATCTCAAGACCCAAGATCACAACCTGAGCTGAAACCAAGAGTTGGATGCTTAACCAACTGAGCCACCCAGGTGCCCCTCCTTTGCCTATTTTTAAATTGTGGTGTCTTTATTATTGAGTTGTAAGGGGTGTTTAGATATTTTATTTATTTTTTTAAGATTTAAAAAAATTTATTTGAGAGCAAGCGAGCACGAGTGGGGGGCAGAGGGAGAAGGAGAAGCAGACTCCCCACTGAGCAGGGACTCTGATGTGGGCCTCCATCCCAGGACCCCAAGATCATGACCTGAGCTGAAGGCAGACGCTTAACCAACTGAGCCATCCAGGCGCCCGTTTAGATATTTTAGATAAAAAACTTCTTACATATATGATTTGCAAACAATTTCTCCCATTGGTGGCTTGTTTTTTCACTTTCTTGATAGTGTCCTTTGAAGCCCAAAAGTTTTTTTCTTTTAAAGATTTTATTTTTAAGCAATCTCTATACCCCATATGGGGCTTGAACTCACAACCCCAAGATGGAGAGTCCCACGCTCCAGGGACTGAGCCAGCCAGGTGCCCTTCAAAAGTCTTTAATTTTGATGAAGTTCAATTCACCCACCATTTTTCCTTTGTTGCTTCTGCTTTCTGAGCCTGTTTTCGAGCCATAGATGGCCTGGGTTCATCTCTCCATGCGGATTCCAAGTTGAGAAACAGTCACCACTCTATGGACTCTGGATTGGTGACACTCAAATCCTAGTTTACTCAACTCTGACCTTGGGCAAGTTAAACGTTTTGTGCCTCCGTTTTCTCATCTATAAGATGGGGATAATAACGGTGTTGGGCTCAAATATGTAAATTCCTGTAAAGCGCTCAGAACGGTGTCTGGCGCCGTGCAGATGTCTGCTCTAATTACTGTGGTGCTTGCCATAATATTATCACGGCCATGACTTCGTTGCTACACAAGCATCTCCTATAATATCATGGTCCTCGATGCTGTACTGTTCCGACTTCCAGGGTGAGTGAGATGCCGCCCATTTGCCAGATGAGGCCACCGCGGCCCAGGGAACACGCCTGGCTGAGGAGCCCACCATTCCTGGCACCCCTGACATTGCTGCCCGTCTCTCGTCTCCGCAGGTTCGGGGCGCCCGCCCCCCACTAGGCCAAGTGGAGGGGGTGCCCCCGCCCAATGGGCCTGGCCTGGGCCCTGCGCCGCCTTAGCGGCGCCCTGGAGCCAGGGGAGGGCCGCGCCGGCGATGAGGAGGAGGCCGGGCCGGGGCTGTGCCGCAACGGATGGGCGCCGTCGCCGGCGGGGCGGCGCCGCGGGCGCTTCGTCAAGAAGGACGGGCACTGCAACGTGCGCTTCGTGAACCTGGGCGGCCAGGGCGCGCGCTACCTGAGCGACCTGTTCACCACGTGCGTGGACGTGCGCTGGCGCTGGATGTGCCTGCTCTTCTCCTGCTCCTTCCTCGCCTCCTGGCTGCTCTTCGGCCTGGCCTTCTGGCTCATCGCCTCGCTGCACGGCGACCTGGCCGCCCCGCCGCCGCCCGCGCCCTGCTTCTCGCAGGTGGCCAGCTTCCTGGCCGCCTTCCTCTTCGCGCTGGAGACGCAGACGTCCATCGGCTACGGCGTGCGCAGCGTCACCGAGGAGTGCCCGGCCGCCGTGGCCGCCGTGGTGCTGCAGTGCATCGCCGGCTGCGTGCTCGACGCCTTCGTCGTGGGCGCCGTCATGGCCAAGATGGCCAAGCCCAAGAAGCGCAACGAGACGCTCGTGTTCAGCGAGAACGCCGTCGTGGCGCTGCGCGACCGCCGCCTCTGCCTCATGTGGCGCGTCGGGAACCTCCGCCGCAGCCACCTGGTCGAGGCCCACGTGCGGGCCCAGCTGCTGCAGGTGCGGGCCGCCGGGCTGCAAGGGCCAGGCCGGGGCAGGAGGGAGGGACCTGTCGCGGGGGGAATGGTGGGAGATGGAGGCCTGAGGTTGGGGTGTGTGGCAGGCCTGGCCGGTGCGTGGACTACAATTCCCAGCAGTCTCGCGGGCAGGAACCCTGTCGGTCCACCCCCCCTCCCCCCGCCTTTGTGGACTGAGGCTCCTTCCTGGATCAGTTGTAGGAGATGGAAACCCAAGAGAGAGGTCTGTGACCAGTGCTAACTGGAGACCTTGGCTTGAAACAGATTTTGAGACATAAAGAGGTTCCTGTGGCTTGAGGATGGGCCCCCAGTGGGGTTGTGGGATAGCTAGACCTGAGAAGGCCGCGCCTGTCGTGTAAAGGCTCTAAACTACAATTCCCAGAAGCCTCTGTGAGTAGGGAAAGTATTCCGAAGGGATGGTCTGAGCCGATGATGTAGTTTGTGGGTGGTGTAAACCATGGCTCGGGTTTTCAGTTACCAGCCCACACAGCGGTACCGAGAGTGGCCTGTGACTTGAGGCCAGGCCCCTATGAGGTTGTGGGAGATGTAGGCCCAAGGATGGGGCGCGGGTCACATCTGCAGAAGAGCTGTGGAACGCAATTCTCCGTGGCCTCTGGGCACGGGGTCCCGCAGCGTTTGCGGGAGACTTCATTCCCCGTGTCAGTGGCCCAGTTGGCCCCACCAGCCTCCTGCTCAGGGGAGTACAGGGCTGGAAAACACCCTTGAATTGTACCTTACCGCCAAAACAAACAAACAAAAACCAAACCGGCTACGACCCCCATTGGCGCCTGGGGTGGCAGCTCCCTCTGGTGCCCTGAGGGAGGCGCCCTAGTGTTTCTCTAGAATTGTGGTCAAACTGCCCAAATTCTAGGGCAGTAGTTGTCCTGGCCCAAGTAAAGACACTTAAGAACCCCGGGGTGAGGTTGGACTTTGGTGAGAGGGAGGATGGAATGGTGGTGAGAACTACAACTCCCAGCAGCATCTGGGGGCTCCTGGATTCATGAGTGGGAGAGATACTCTCTCTCCCAGAAGTCTGTGGGGCGCTGACATGGTTTGGGAGGTTGGGCATGGAACCAATGGGGGAAGGTGGGGGGAAACTACCAATACCTGGCCTGGGGACTGCATTGTCCCCTCCCCCACACACATACACACATACACTCACACATACAAACTCTCACACACACACACACACACACACACACACGCACAATGGGACAGAGGGGCTTCTAGTTGTGTTGGGGGATAGATAAGCCAGGGGCTAGCCTGAGGCTGTGGTAGAATACAGAGTGTGGGACCTAGGTTGTCATCCTTATTTATAGCTCAATGGCCATATATTGAAAATCATTTTTCTGTCCCTCTCCTCCTTCTCCAATTGCTGCTTGGACATTACTCCTACCTCTGTTGTCTCTTTAACTTCGTCTCTGCTATGCTGATTTCTGTGACTTGATACCAATATCATTCTGCCCCTCTGTCCCCTCTCTTTTTCTCTCTTGCGTTTCTATCCCCAAACTCTTTGAGTCTCTGTCCCTCACTCTTTATCTCTGGTTCTGTCCCCCCCCCCTTTCTCTGGACCTCCATGCTCCTCTCTCTGGGCCTCCATTCCCCTCTCTCTGGGTCCATATTCTCACCCCACCACCCCTGCCTGTTTCTGCTCTCCCCTTCCTTGGCATCTCCGTTCCTTTATCTCGTCATCTCTGTCTCCATTCATCTCTATGCTCCCTGCCGGCTGTCTTTGGCCCCTCTCCTCTTGCTGCAGCCTCGTGTGACCCCGGAGGGTGAGTACATACCACTGGATCATCAGGATGTGGACGTGGGCTTTGATGGTGGCACCGATCGAATCTTCCTTGTGTCTCCCATCACCATCGTGCACGAGATCGACTCTGCCAGTCCTCTGTATGAACTAGGACGTGCCGAGCTGGCCCGGGCTGACTTTGAGCTGGTGGTCATTCTCGAAGGCATGGTGGAGGCCACGGCCATGACCACACAGTGTCGCTCCTCCTACCTCCCTGGTGAGCTGCTCTGGGGCCATCGTTTTGAGCCGGTCCTCTTCCAGCGTGGCTCCCAGTACGAGGTTGACTATCGCCACTTCCACCGCACTTACGAGGTCCCAGGGACACCAGTCTGCAGCGCCAAGGAGTTGGATGAACAGGCAGAGCGGGCTTCCCACAGCCCCAAATCTAGTTTCCCCGGCTCTCTGGCTGCATTTTGTTATGAGAATGAACTTGCACTGAGCTGCTGCCAGGAGGAAGAGGAGGAAGAGGAGGCCAAGGAGGGGGATGGGGTGGAGGCAGAAGATGGGACTGCCAGCCGCCAAGTACTCACACCAACCCTGGCACTGACCCTGCCCCCGTGATGCCCAGCTGGTGTCTCCCTATTTGTACCCCCTTCCCAGAGATAGCAAGATGGAGAGTTAGGGCCCTCTCCTGGGATGGGGGCAGGTGTTTCCCAAGCCCGACAGACCTGCTGGGTAAATTATTAGCTGGTGAAGTTCTGCCATGCCTAGTGGACCCACCACAGACATACTGGATCTTAATTCCTCTGCGGCCCATGCTCCCTCCCAAGACCCCTTTATCAGCCTGATTCCTGAGTCTCCCCAGAGCTGAGGGATCCAGAATTCTGGACCACCCAAGAGGCAAGGACTGGTGGTTCTAGATTCCTCTAATGTGGCTGGGTTGGTTTGTCGAGCAGGGTCAGTAATCAGTGGTATATACTGTCTCCAGGGACGGAACAGAGATTTAAGAGTTTGCAGATCTGGACTGACCTAAGATTCAAGGGACTGTTGCTTCTCGACTCAGCTAACCAAGTAGCAAATCATTTTTTTCTAGACCATGTAAGGAGGGAGGGTTATGGAATGCCCCAAGAATTCAAGACTATCTTTATTAACCAATGACAAAGATTATTGACTACAGGTCAAGAAAAGACCCTGTGGTTCCAGAAGACCCAAGAGTTAAGATTCTGTGAATCTAGATTGACCACAGAGGCAAGCACTGGTGGTTCTAGAACACGTTGAAGCTAGAATGTTGAGCTACTGAGGAAATGAAATAGTCATGTTTCTAGAATGCACAAAACGAAAGAGTGTCTGTGGGTCTGGAAGGGCGACAGTGACAGCTTGGGAGTTCTTGATATTAGATAACTCCAGACCACTGGCTGTAGAACATCAAACCAAAGGGATAATCAATACTTCCTTATGATCCATGGGGTTTGTTTTCTTTTTTTTTTTAAGTGCCATTCTAGAATGTCCAAAGGAATCAAGATTCTGTGGCTCTAGAGTGATCACAGAGTCAAGGAAGGAGTGGCGATGCTAGATGACTGAGATTTGCCGGTTCCAGTTTGCCCAGTGGAGTTGAGAATCTCGATGATTCTTTGTGGTTCTGTAATGCCAAAAGGAATCAAGGCTCCAGGGATCAAGGGTTGTCCATTATTAAAACCTGGAAGGTCTAATCAGCTCCTAGAACTTGGCAGTTCTAGGGAGGTGGACTTGGGACTTGATCGGCAGCATTTCTGGGCTGACCTAGAAAGGGAGGGCCCAGGCAAGACCCTGTGGATAACAGGGCTGGTTGTTGGGCAAGGGAAGGAGAGGCCCAAGGCTGATGAGTCTACGATGCTCTGGAATCCTACACCTAGCAATGTGTGTCTCTTTCTTAAAGATGTTTTACATATGTGTATTATATATATATAATATAAATACAGATATCTGTCTATATTTTCCTGTGGTTCATACAAAAGGATTAGAAACTGAGCTTGAGCTAATTGGAATAGAGTCCTTTACGAGGATCCAGGAAGCTTTGCTCTAAATCCCAACTCTGCCGCAATTTACTGCGTGGTTTTGGGCAAATCATTCCCCTCCTTCTTCCCTCAATTTCCCCATCTGTAAAAATGGGGCACTGGAAACTTGAAGTGAGGATGATTCCTCACTTCACTGAAGAGGACAGCTGGGGGCAGGGGTGAGGGTCCTACAGATTTCCCAGCTCTCCCTGGTGCTGGAACGCATGGCCTTCCAGGAGCAACTGGGACAGGAGAGACTCTCGGAGGCCAGCTATGAACTTGGATGTGTGAACAACACGGCAGGCAAGGGGTAGTGTGGGCTGTGGCTAATAGCCAGAATCCCCCCCGCCCCCCCGCCGGTCCCGCTTAGGGGGCAGAGGAAGGAAAACGTAGCTCTGAATGCCAGGTGAAAGTATGTGTTCAGGGGGAGAATTGTGCCCCAGATCAAATCAGTGGGAGCCCTGGGTGATGTGTCTGTGAGTGTGCTTCTGGGGCATGGTTTGTCACGCCTGTCCTCCAACCCCCACCATACTGCTATCTAAGTGCCCAGCAGGCTGGGAGCCAACTGCAGAAGGAGCCAGTGCCAGGGAGGAGGACACATTCCCACCTGTGTCCCAGGACTGCGGGCAGGCACTGACATTGCCCATTAGCTTGCCCCAGTGCGGCAACAACCCAGGTCCCTGCATCTGGCGTCCCCACCTCCCTTTATCCTTCAAAATCCCCACTTAATAACCGGATGGGATTAATTAGCTAGTTGTTCTCCCAGTGCAGGTGTCTGGGGGTAGGGACGGGGGTAATGGAAACACATGGAGAAGGATGTTAAGTTGGGGGTGAAGGGACAGGAAGAGGGTTCTGTTTGGAAGGAAAGAGAGTGGGGCAAAGCTGGTACAGCCTAACTTCCCACTGGGAAGGACAAGACCTGGGCCGCTCATAAAGGTCAGGGAGGGGATTAAGAGGCTCCGTGTCTAATCTGTCAGCTTAACCAGGTCCTGGCCCTGAGTCTGTCCCCCACCTGCCTGGCCAGGGACAGCAAATGAGGACAAGGCCCAGACACCACCTGAGACCCAGTTAGGGACCCGCCCATGACAGGGATGCCCAGGTACTCCATCCGGGCCAGCGGCCGGCACTTGCTTTTTCGGCAAGGAATGGAAATCAGAGGCTGGGGCGGAGCGGGGTGGGGAGACTCCGAGAGGAGGGAGGAGTTTAAGAAGAGCGGGGACCTGAAGTGAGGGGAGTCACAGAGGAGGGAAGGGACTTTGAGAGCGAGGAAGGAACCAGAGAGGTGGAAGGATGTTGAGTAAAGGGAGTTGTTATAGGGGGAGGGGCTTGAGGGAGAGGGGGAGGGGCCTGAGAGGCAGAAGGCGCCAGGGAGGCGGAGCCTTCACTATATTTGGCCTTCCCCTAACGTCCCATTCTCCATGACAGACCCCCAATAGCGTAGAAAGAATAAGTCTTTTGTTTCACCACTCCTTGACTCTCAAGAGGCTGAAGTGGACGGGAAAGTCCTGAGAGGCGTTAAGGAAAGGATCTGGAGATCAGAGGGGCCAGAACCAGAAGGACAGAGGCCAAAAGACGCGCCAAAGCCGTTCCCAGTTGCCTGGCAACCGCTGCGGTCAAAAGCCTGCTTGGCCAGCCAAGGAGGTGTGGCTCCCGGAAACAGCAGACAGTTGTGGCGCCGCCCCCTGGCAACGAGACTAACAAAGTACCGCTCCCCAGCAACCTATTACTAGAGGCGGGGCTGGATTGGACTAGCATCCTCCCCGTGCCCTTGCGCAGGCGCAATCCTCTCTGCTCGCGCATTGTCCCACCTCCATGCAACTCCTTTCCGAGCCTTCTCATTGGCGGGCACACCAGCCAAATGCCATCTTTTGTTTCGGAGGCGGGGCCCGGCTCTCTGGCCGCACTCCGACTGGCCCCACGGGCCGTCTAGCTCCGGCCGGACAGTGCTACGTCTGCTCCTTGTGTGCCTATTGGCCCTGGAGGACGATCCTTCGGGGTCGGGGGCGGAGCAGACGAGAGGGCCCTCCGTGGATTGGACGGTGTCAAAACGAGGGGCGGTCCCTATTGGCGGGGCGGTTGGGAGGCGAAGGGAGAGTCCTTTCAGCGCTGAGGACTGGCGCTGAGGAGGCGGCGGTGGCTCCCGGGGCGTTTGAGCGGGCTCATCCGAGCCCGCGGGCCAACGCGGATCCAGGCCCGACCGGCGGGACCGCCCCGGACTCCCCGCGGGCCTTCCTAGCCGCCATGGAGGACGGTGTCTATGGTAGGTCAGGGAGGGGCGGGGCCGGCTGGGAGCGGATGGAGCGTTTCGACCCCAACGTTCCGCCGCGAACATCCCTCCCGGCGCGCGCCGCGCGGAGCCTTTCGGCCCCGTCGTCGCCTAGCTTTTGTGGGGCGCGGGACGGGCTTCCGGCGGGGCCCGAGAGCAGGGCGTTCCAGGCCATTGTTTGGGCCGAGCCTGTTTCCGGTGGCGGCGGGAGGGGGCGGGATGGAGCGGTGGAGGCGAGGCCGGGGCGGAACCATTCCCGCTGGAAGGGCCGGGCGAGCCCAGTGCCTGCTGGGAGCCGGGAGGGGGGCTTCTGGGGCGGTTGGGTGGGGAGAAATCTTGGGGGCTGCAGAGATCCCGCTAAGGCGGGGGCGGGGGCCTTCGATGCCCCGCCCCCAACCCCAACTCTTACGAGCTGTCCACAGCTTTCCCAGCCGTAGTTACTTTCCACGGACCCAGGAGTCCCGACACCCAAGCTCCCAGTTACCTCGCCAGGAATGGAGGCAGAAAACCAAGGCCTCAGCCCCCTTCCAAGTAATGGACCCACCAGTTTGGCCTCCCAGCCCCCTTTTCCCTCAAACTCAGGAGTCCTGACCCCTGGCCTCCCCCTCCTCCCCCAGGACTTAAGTGTCCACATCCGCAGGCCTTCCTCCCCTGGGTTGAGGAATCTAGACCCCCAGCCTCTTCTTCCAGCAGACAGTGGAGGCCCAACGCTCATCCTCATCCTCCCCTGCAATCTAGTCCTGCCGGCCCCAGCCCTGTCCTCCCCCAGATTGCAGGAATCCAGGCTCCCAGTCCCCAGAACTGACCTCCAACCCCTGACCCTACCCTCAGAGCCCCCCGACCTGACACCGGAGGAGCGGATGGAGCTGGAGAACATCCGGCGGCGGAAGCAAGAGCTGCTGGTGGAGATCCAGCGCCTTCGGGAGGAGCTCAGTGAAGCCATGAGCGAGGTGGAGGGTCTGGAGGCCAATGAGGGCAGGTGAGGGCTGGGGTGGGGAACTTGGGGGTAATGGGGCCAGGCCAGGGATGCCCAGGCATTGAGCCTCCATCCCCTGCTCTCTCCTGCAGTAAGACCTTGCAACGGAACCGGAAGATGGCAATGGGCAGGAAGAAGTTCAACATGGATCCCAAGAAGGTGCTTGGGCCATAGGGCTGGGATCCATCAGGCCGATTTTCAGGCCCGGGGGTGGGGGGGGTGGGGGTCTGGCACCTTTAGGTTCCAGAAGTGTGCTAGTTAAAGATCTACTTAAGGTGGACGGATGTGGTCCTAATCCCCACATTCAGATATAGGCTGTCCATTTGTTCTCTGAACACTCACCAGGCATTCTACCTTCCTGACCTTTGCGCGTGCTGTGTCCTCTGACTGGGAGGCTCTCTTCCCCTTTCTGTTCATATTTCTGGACCCTCTTGTGGGGCCACCTAGGGGCTCAGGAGGAGCTCGAGTCTGGTAGGGAACACGGATGGTGACATGCGCAAAGGAGGTTTGACCAGGGCCACTTCAGAGAGCTGCCAGGGCTGTGGACCCTCACGGTGGGAGCCTTGTAAAGTTAGGGAGGGCTTCCTTGAGAAGAGGACAGTCAGGTCCAGTTTGAAGGACGAGTCCGTGTTCACCAGGTGGAGAAAGGTGTTTGTTCATTCGGTCATTCCCATTCTCTGAGGCCGTCTCAGGCTTGCCCCTGTGCTGTGGGCCGCGCTGGAGCCCCAGAGAGGACTTGACCTTACCTTGCCCTCGGCGAGCCCCAAGACGTGGATACCACACTCCAGAGTCAGATGTAGCTTTCATGGCACAGGGCGAGCCAGAGAACACCCCATCCGGCGTGAGGCTTGGCCCTCACAGCCCTTGATGTACTGCTGTCTGCG